TCTCTCTCTCTCTCTCTCTCTCTCTCTCTCTCTCTCTCTCTCTCTCTCTCTCTCTCTCTCTCTCTCTCTCTCTCTCTCTCTCTCTCTCTGAGCTGCAGCTGAGCATGCCGGGGCTTGCCAGTCTAGCAATGCCAGTGTAAACATTTGACAGTGTGCATCATCATGGCGCTGACCACCTCCATCTCTGTTCACACCTAACTGTGGGCACTTTTAAGGCCATACTCACACTTGCACTTCCCTGGATGTATTTGACCGCAATTACGTTAAAATTCAGTTGTCAATGAAAGAGCTCAAGTGTGAGGATGCCCAAAAGAGTGGTGCTAATATATAATCATCTTATCACCTAGTATTCTTCTCGTCGCCCTCCTTTATCTCCCCCCGCTGCCCCGCATCCTGCATTGCTTCTCTGGCAGGCTACTCCAGGCCAGTTTGCTAGAGGCATTAATAAATTTAAAGCAATCACTGCTACCACCCCCTGTAGTAGAGGTCACTAGTTTTTTTGGGAAAAAGAAAAAAGAAAAAAAAAAAGCAATCACTGCTAGCACCCCAAGAGAGACGAGACTCCATCTAGTATGGGTGGGGAGCATCGTCTGCTGGAAAACGGGTCCAGCGTCGCTGTACACCGTTGATCTGATCTGTTGTTTGTGTGGCCTCCTCTGTGACCCCCCCCCCGTCACAGATACTGACAAGGGCCCTGAGATGGATTCTTATCTACGATCATTCCAGCACCTCTAAAGTCACATACAGTTTTGGATCTGTTTTGAGCAGCATAGTATGCATTAAACAGGAAAGAGGCATGTGCTATTTTTGTATCAGGCAGAAAGCAATTCCCCCCAACCTGCGTAGGTCTGCAGTTGACGCCAGCGGTGATTCCACACACCCAATTTATTCCCACCTGTAATTCCTCATCGGACACACAGTCATTGGCCACACAGTATGTGTTCGGGCCTCCAGATTGCGCAGCAGTGGAGTTGGAAGTTGGGGGTAGGCCCCCGCGGCCTCCAGGGGTGCATGAGTCTACTGGCACTACTACTAGCGGTAAGGGCTCATCACCTTCCCATCCTTTGCACATGTCAATTGGATACTTAGGCGTCCCATTCATGTAGAACACCCCCCAAGAGCGTTCGAACGGTCCCCGGTCCAGAGATCGCAGGTCTTCGTCCAGCAACTCAAAGATGTAAGCTCGTATCCCCTCCCCCCCCGAACCTCCCCCCCCCCCGGGACGCTTCGGTGTTCCCTTCCCGCTCGTCAGATGGGCCACGAGGTGGTTGTTGAATCTCTTAGCGTTCTCGACGGTGGCAAAGGGGTCTCCTTTTGTAGGCCAGCCCACCTCACCAATGGCTATGGGAATTCCAAAGAAGCCTTCTCCCTCCATAGCCGATGCAACAGCATCTATCATCTTGTCCACCTCGTTTGTGTACTTCAAGCCGTTATCAATCAAAGGGGTGGTACTGTTAGGATCGTGCTGAAGGGCATCAGAGAGAGAAATGGCGCCAGCCTTCAGCAGACCGAAGGGGTACATGTTCACCATGAAGGCTGAGCCTGTCTCGTTCAAGAACTGTAGCAATGGGATTATCGTGTCATTCTTATACGACCCGTTGAATGCTCCGGCACTCGGCGGAGAAGTCACGCTCAGGGCATTGAGACTCAGAGGTATGGTCACCTTGACTGTCTCGTGATGATGAAACTGCAGAGCCTGGTGCAAATTTTTCATGGCCGGCACGATCGACCTGGCATATGTTGCATTCAGCTCGGGAAGCGAAACCTCGTCGCCTATCTGCAGCAAGCAACAGAAAACAGAAAAGGGGTAACTTCAGTAGAGTCACAAAAACGAGTTATATAATTGCAGTATGGGACAGGATACAGTTTGCAATAATTGCAGTTCGGGCACCCTACTACCTGGCCAGAAAGCTGGGTTGTATACATGGCAGGCCCGAACTGCAATTATCGCAAACTGTAGCATGGCCCCTGTGCAAGGGGATGACACACATAAATCGAGAAATGGTCCAAATTTAATAATTAAAAAAAAAAAAAAAAAGACAGAAGCACAAAAAAGCATGCACACCACCTCCCCAATCACACCACAAGTATGAGAGCCTGCATCACTCTTCAAATCATGGTTTCTCATTTTTTATGGTGACTATTTCTCTATTGAAAAGGGCCGCTAATTATGGCGAATGTATACAACCCAGGTTTCGGGTCAGGTGGGGTCACGCCGGGGTGTGCTGTATTCGCCAGACAGCCTGAAGTGCATTTTCAAACTGTTTTGGTGACTGCGCCGAATGTATACAACCCCTTTCTTTTTTTTTTTTGGTGACTATTTCTCGATTTATGCGTGTTGTGAGGAATGTGCCCTCACGGGGCCCTAGCCAACATGAACATGATATGGGGTGTGGCCCCCGGAAAGCATCTTGCCCGCCCTAAGTGAAGGAGGGCCTGAATATTCAGGAGAGGCCCTTATCTCAGCATTTTCCAATGTGGGTATCAGACAGTTGCAGCAGGCCAGTTGGTTGAAGTGCAACCTGGGCCTGCGATTTTTCGATGCCAGAAGGACGCTGGCCGGTGCTGGGGGATTGCCCTGTAACCTGTTGATAGCAGGAGCACGAGGCCTGGTAGAGAGATCTGGGGATGCCTTGGGCGGGGCATTCCCAGGGAAAACCAAGGGTTGCTGTCGGGACGACGCTGGCCGGAGCAGGGGTGAGTCGTGTTGCCCTGTAACCTAGCAGGGTGGGGGCATGAGGCCTGGGAGAGCTCGGCGGGGAATTAAACAGCGCTAGAGAGTTCTAGAAGTGTTTTGTTGGGGATTCCAGGGGTTCTGAGCATTCGAAGGACTTCTGCGGCTTTCCTGTTTTACTTAGTAATTGCTGCTTGAGTAGCCTAGTATTAGGTCAGCAGTTAATATCCACGTTTTTCCCAAAATTTCCTGAACTCTTTTCATAGTCCTCAGATTGTTCTTAGCCGAAGCCAGGTAATGGCCCTGGTATTTCAAAAAAACCATTTGTATATTCTATATGGGACGCTGGGCCCTGTTCCCAGCACGTGTTGCTCCCAACGAATAGATTAGAGCAGTTGTCCTAAAAAAAAAAAAAAAAAAAAAAAAGATGGGCCTGAGTGCTGGTCACACTGAGGTAGGATAGTGGGATAGGGGGTTCCCGTTCAAGCGCAAGGAGCACTCCTAAACCCTACCAAAAAAAGATAGTCCGGTTCCCGTTCGAGCGCTAGGAGCATCGAGGTAAGGATGGGATGGGAGGTGGTCTCATCTCATATTCCAGGACACCCACGACCTACTGCTCCAGGTGATCACTGTGTACTCAGTGACTGGCCTCTACAACACCATGGACTTTTTGGAAAGAAAAAAAAAAGAAAACAAAAAAGGGGCTTGTGTGTGTTGTCTGGGGGAAAAATGGGGGGGCAAAAAAAGGGGGGAAAAAGAAGAAGAAAAACTTACCACAATTTCGGAGATCGTGACCTCTCCAGCCAACGTATTGAGCCAATTTTGAACAAACCGATCCGCTTCGCCGTAGCTGTCGGCCCAGATCCCGACTTTTTCCAAGGGGTTGGCGATCGCGAGCTCGATTCCCGTTCCCGCCAATGCTTGTGCAAAACCCGCCGTTAGAGTCTCGTTATTTTGCCAGCGCTCCGTTAACTTCACTGAAGTCGCGTTCACCGACTTCAAAATGCCCACCATCGCGCTGGGCTCCAACTGGACGGAGCTCTGTCCCAATCCGAGGTTGACGCCAACACCTCGACCCGCCATAGCCGAAAATGGAAGAGATGGAGAAGAGGGAGGTGCAGTCTGAGAGGAGGGAGAGGAGGGAGAGGAGGGAGAGGAGGGAGAGGAAGGGGATGGAGAGGAGAGAGAGGAAGGGGAAGGAGACAGGGTGGAGGCGAGAGGGGTTGACGAAGACGAAGGAGAAGTTCCTTTTCTGTATGGCGATGGTGGAGATGGAGGAGTTCGCTCTGACGAGCTTGCTGGCGATGGTGGAGATGGAGGAGATGGAGGAGTTCGCAGTGACGAGCTTGCTGGCGATGGTGGAGATGGAGGGGTTGGGAGGGAAAAGGAAGGAGTACCGGCGTCCTCAACGACAGCTGAGGGAGAAGACGCATCGAGATCGTTGGAGGGAAGGGAAGAAGATGTGGAAATGCCGCCATAGCCATTCGTTGGCGATGGATGTTCCATTGACGGGGAGGATTGGCTATGGCTAATACCTAATTCGTCGAACGGCGGCTCAGAATCTGAGGACTCTGCCGCAGGTGGGGGTGGGGGGGCAGGATAACTCTGGGCCCAGGCAAAGGAGAAGCCACCACCATCGCTTCTGTCTCTCTGTCTCCCCTCTCTCTCGTCGCCGCCATAGCCACCATGGCCTCTATTACTCGAGAGGAAGAAGGGGAGAAGGAAGATGAGGAGCAGGGGAACGCGCAGCGGCCAGTGCAGAACACCACCGTCCCTTGTCATCATCGTCTTTCTCCGCATTGCTACTCTCGTCCTTGTGATTGATGGTAATAACAGCAGTGATTCCGTCTGAAGACGAAGAAGAAGAAGAAGAAGAAGAAGAAGAAGAAGAAGAAGAAGAAGAAGAAGAAGAAAAGGGGGGGGGGAGAGAGGGGGATGCTAGAAAGAAACGCGGGATAGGTTGAGTGGCACCTACAGCATGAGGAAGACCTGGCCTCGATCTTCAACTCTCAGAAAAGCGAAACTTTTTGGTCGTCCGCACACCTCATAGTCTTCAAACAGCTCAGACGACGACGAAGGAGAAGAAGAATAGAAGAAGCAGAAGAAGAAGAAGAAGAAGAAGAAGAAGAAGAAGAAGAAGAAGAAGAAGAAGAAGCGAAGGTTTTTGGCTATGGCGGAGTCCGCACGCCTCGTACTCTTCCAACAGATCGGACGACGAACACACCTCGTAATCTTCAAACAGATCTGATCCGCACACCTTGCAGTGTTCCAACAGACCTGACAAAGAAGAAGCAGCAGCAGCAGCAGCAGCAGAAGAAGAAGAAGAAGAAGAAGAAGAAGAAGAAGAAGAAGAAGAAGAAGAAGAAGAAGAGGCGATGGCGGCGTCCACACAACTCGTAATCTTCAAAGAGATCTGAAGGAGGAGAAGAGGGAGGAGGAGGAGGAGGAGGAAGAGGAGGAGGAGGAGGAGGAGGAGGAGGAGGAGAAGGAGGAGGAATACCACAGCGGACGGAGCGATTCCCTTCGACGCGGAGTATCCGATCACCGTATAAGTGCGAACTCACAGCAGTACGTTTATGGATGTATCGACCTGAAAAAACGGACAGATTCAGTCAAAAGGATTCTAGTATCAGTACGACTTCAGCGCCTTTCAGCGGAGAAAGAGTTTTCCAGGAATTTCAATCTGAAAGGAAAAAAGGATTGCTTCTTTCTTATTGACCACAAACACACACACACAAACGGAAAACAAACCAGATGGTATTTGTCAAAAAAAAAAAAAAAAAAAAAAAAAAAAAAA